GCTTGGGGACGGGACCCCGGCGCTCCCCTCGGGGGGGGGGGGGGGGGGCTCAGGCGGAGCGCTCCGCGACGAAGGACGAGAGGGGCCCGTACATCTCCGCGAGCGACGCGCGCTGCCGGGGCTTCGGCGGCGGCGTCCAGCCGTCCGGCTCGTAGGCCGGCGGCGGGTCGACGGCGAGGATGCGGTCGATGAGCTCGTCGTTGAGCGGGTGGCACTCGGGGGACACGGGCTCGTAGACGTCGTCGTCGAAGACGTCCGCGAAGGGGTGCGCGAAGGGCTCGAAGGGCCGCGCCTGGGCAGCACAAGGGTGATTCAACGTCGCTTCAACGTGAGTGTTCCGCGCGCGTGCGTTCCGGAAAACACATCCACGCTTCGAGACCGTTCCGAGAGATGATCGCTCGTCCAAAAATCAGCCAAAACGAGTGGAAAATGGCCGAGATATGAGCCTTTGAAGTTGGGAATTTCGCTCTCTTTTGCCGCCCTGGGCCGCGCGTCGTCGCTGTCGAGCGCGAGGCCGTCGCGCGCGGCGGGCTCGCCGCCCGGCGCGTTTTCGAAGCCGCTCAGGGAGTAGAAGGACGTCGCGCTGGACGTCGAGGCCGTCGACGAGCTCGCGACGCTCGCCGTCGACGACGTCGACGCGTCGCTCGACGAACTCCAGCTCGAGTCGTCGCCGTAGGACTCGCCCGCGTCGCTCGCGTCGTCGTCGGACATGCCGTCGTCGCGGTCCTCGTCGTCGAGCTGCTCCGTGTCCAGGGCGGCGGCCGCGTCGTCGTCGCACTTGAGGCCGAGCGCGCGCCGCTTCTTGAGGGCCTCGGCCATGAGCAGGAGCACGCGCCGCTTGTCGCGGCCCGCGAGACCCGCGTAGCCCCGGAGGTCCCGCGGGCTCTGGATGACGTGCGTGCGCTTCGAGCACTTGGCGAAGGACTCGAAGATGCACTCGGGGTGGTACCAGTGGACGCGCCGCCCGCTCTTCTGCTGGTTCACGCGCGGCGGGATCTTGCCGATGCGGAACTCGCCGCTGAGGAGCTGGCGCTTGCAGGGCCCGTGCTTGCACTTGGACCGCATGTCCGCCGCGTACTCGGCGACGTACTTGTTCTTGCCGATGCGGCCTGCGGGGGGGGGGCGGCGGTTTCTCGCGCGCGCGCGCGCGCGGCGCGCGGGCGGCGCGCCCGCGAGCATGCCGCCGAGGCGGCCGTGGTCCTGCTGGGACCGGGGCTCGTCCTTCATGGCCGTGCGCACGGCCTTGGCGTCGACCCAGCCCCGCTCGCCCGCGACGATCTCCTTGACGCGCACCGCCGACTCCTTGACGCCGTCGCGCGCCACGGGGCAGCCCTCGTCGGACGCGCCCTCCTCCCAGTCCTCGGCCAGCCCGAGGTCGCAGGCGCGCGGCGCCTTGTCCTTGGCGCTGCGGTGCACGGGCACGCGCCGCTGCGGCGCGATGGGCGACGTCGTGACCATGATTTGACGAGAACGCAGGCTGCTGCAAGGAAGTGGTGCCTTACAATTGTAAGCGGCCTCGATCGACCGAGGGCCTCGAGGGTTTAATCTTCAACCCATCTTCACTCGTGGGAGCGTGACCTCCCCAAGGGGATCTTCAACTTGAAGATCCCCTTGACCTCCCGCATCCAAGCGCGTGACTTCAGTGATAAACGCACGCCCGGCTCGCTAAGCCAGCTCCGAATGCCTCAGGCTCACGCTGCCCCCGGGGGCCGACGCCGGACGCCGCCGCCGTCGCGCCGACCGCGCCATCGCTGAGTCGCGGCGCTGCCATCGCTGATCGCTGCCGCGGCGCCCGACACGCATGCCGCAGGACCCGCCCTGCGCCGCCTGCGGCATCGCCGGCGCGTCGCTGCGCTGCGGGCGCTGCAAGGGCGTCAAGTACTGCACGCCCTTTTGCCAGAAGCGCCACTGGCCCGCGCACAAGCGGCGCTGCAAGGTCGGCGGCGCCGTGCTCGACTTCGGCGACGGGCCGGGCGCGGCGCCGCGGCCGTCGACGACGTTCCGCGGCGGCGAGGCCGGCGCGGCCGCGTGGGCCGCCGTCGCGGCCGCGGTCGGCGAGGCGTCGACGTACCGCTGGTCGCCGCGCGCCGACGGCGCGCGGCGCTTCGCCGCGCGCGCGCCGCGGCCCGCGGACGGCGCGCGCGAAATCCGGGGCGGCCGCTGCGTCGCCGCGGACGGCGCGGCGCCCGACGGCTGGCGCGAGGTGAGGGCGGACGCGTCCGCGCCGCTGCGCAAGGCCCTCAAGGACAGCTTCGGCCCGCGCGTCGTCGCGCTCGCGCTCGCGCGCGTCGGCGACGCGCTCGACGACCGCGACCACTTCCGCGAGTGCCTCGCCGCGCTGCCGTCGCTCGCGGCGTGCTCCCTCGAGGAGCTCCAGGTCGACGGCGCGCTCCTCGGCGCGCTGCCGCCCAAGGTCCGCGCGCTGCGCGTGGCGCGGTGCGGCGGCCTCGACGACGCGGCGCTGGCCATGGCTTTAAAATCGCGGCCCGCGCTCCGGCACCTCGACGTCGAGGCGGCGCAGGTCGGCCGCGACGCGCGGCTCCCGGGCCCCGACGCCGCCCGGGAGCTGCGGCAATGCGGGCTGACCTACCTGCGCCTCGCGGGCGACCGCCTCGACCTCGACGCGCTCGGCGACGTCGCGCTCCGGGACGACCTCGCGGCGGCGCTCGAGGCGCTCCACGTCGCGCCCGCGGCGCCGGCGACGGCGGCCTTCGTCGACGGCGTCGCGCGGTGCGCGCGCCTCGCCGACGTCGCGGGCTTCCGCTTCCCGCGCGGCGACGTGCTCTCGCGCGACGGCGCGCTGCCCGCGGCCGTGTCGAACCGCCTGAACCGCGTCGCCGTCTCCGTCGACGACCTCTGCCGCGTCGACGTGTCGCCCGCGGACGCGTCGACGGTCTTCGGCGCGACGCGCTGGGCCGAGCTGTCCCACGTGGCGCTGCTCGGCGACGACGACGCGGGCGACGGCGGCGACGACGCCTTCGCCGGCGGGCCCTTCGCGTCGCACCTCCCCCGCGCCGCGGAGCTCCGGACGCCGTCCGCCGCCGTCGTCTGGGAGTGCTGGGGCGAGACGCTGCGGGTCCTCGACGTCTCCGCGAAGCTGCGCGCGGGCGACGCGGCGTTCCTCGCGCGGCTGCTGCCGCGCCTCGAGGACCTGTCGCTCAACGGCGCGCTGCCCCGCGACGAGCGCGGCGGCGCCGTCGCCGGCGCGCTCGCGGACAACTGCGCGTGCCTCAAGACGCTCGACCTCTCGCGCCACGCGGCCGGGCCGACGTTCGCGGGGCTCCAGCGCCTCGCGGACGAGCTCCCGCTGCTCACGACGCTCTTCCTCTACGCCGCCCGCGCCGACGTCCTTCCCGTCCGGGATGGGCTTCACGTACTGCACTAGACCCTGCCTCGAGATCCCGGCGAGCCACTCGTTCCTTGTGGACGCGTCGAGCCTCGAGGCACCCACTAGACCGCCGCCTTATTCGCCTTCTTGAGCTTCTTCCGCGGCTTCTCCGCGGGCTCGTCGCGCGCGCGCGCCTTCGCGGGCGCGTCGACGGACGCGGTGCCGTCGAGGAGCGCGACGACGCGCGCGCGCGCGGCCGCGGCCCGGGCGGCCTTGGCGGCCTCGTCCTCCTTGGTCGACTTGCGGCGCTTCAGCTTGAGGGCCGTCCGCGCGGCCGCG